GGACTTATCATACTGCCTTGAGGTGCTCCGTTTTCCACAACATATTTTCAAGAATTTTCTTCTCATATTCTAACTTGTATAGTTTTTTTATTTAAAACACACACACACACACACACACACACACACACGCACACACATCTCAGACCATTGTCATGTCCCTGACGACCCCCCTCCCTTTAAACCAGGCCTAATTGGGTTATTACTAAAACATATTCATTCACTTCTTATTATGCCCACCCTCATTTGTTTAAATTATGAGATCAAAATATGACTTCAGCCAGTTGATGTAATGAAATTGAAATTAAAATGAATTAGTCTTTCTAATGATTTTTCCTCCAGGGGGCTTTGAGCTTTTCCCACCCCACTGCCCGGTCCACTGGCATGTCCCGTTCTGATTATTGCCCCCTTTAGCACACTTAATCTAATGGCTTAGGGTCTTGTGTGTGACAGAATGAAACTGTGCTGCTTTCACTCTTTGTTTTTTTTTTTTTTTAAATTGTAGAATTTACAGAAAGTTCCAGTACCTTCTAAACCCAAGACAAGTGTACAACCTGGCCAAGAATGGACCCATGCCTGGGTATGTAACACAGCACACAGCTAATCTATATGATGTTGGTTTTATCAATCAGCTCATTAGATTTGTTTAAGATTTAACAAGAACATAAAACACAAGTTGTGTCAGTTGTTTTTAAAGATTCTGGGTGTGTCCAAATTCATGTCCTTTGAAAGACCCGACCCATTTATACTGGGTAGGCCTTGGTAAACAGTGAAGATCAGAAAAAGGTGGCTGTGAATTTGGACGGTCTAGCCTCCCGCCCTAACSCCGGTGTATCTCCTGTCGCCTAGCAAGATATTAGTAATATATCATCAAAATTAGCTTAAAGGCAAAGTTTCTGCARAGCTYTATTGTCATAAACCCCTCTATCTAACCAGAATGGACCGGTCTGGAAGCTGGAGMGGGGAGGAGTTTAAAGACAGAGTCTCAAAACAACTTGATCTGAGACACACCCCAGAAAAGGGGCGGGGCTTGTGGYGTTACAATAATGATGAATTCAGACCAAAGCCTTGCAGTTCCACTTTACAGATACCCCATGAAGGATTTAAATGTGAAAAAGGATTTATGTATCCTTTAAAGCTCAGTTTAAAKGGAAAATGAACTTATTATTCTTGTTTTATCGACACCACGTGAACATAAAATACAGAAGGATAAATGAAAACTCAAAGGATCCCTCCTGCTATGCTGCACAAATTAGCAGTTTTAGTATTTTAGTAGCAAAATACACACTAGATATTACAATGATGTCTTTATTTTGTTTTTAACTGTGTTTTTTTAAAATGAAACGTTTGACAGGGTTAGAAAATTCTCTGCGAAAAAAAATGGCAAAAATTTTAAGTTGATGCAAATTGTTTTCAAATTCTTTAAAGCAAATGGTCAGGCCTTTACAATAATTGCTAAACTGTAAAGAGAAAAGGAATAAATCCCAAAACTAAAGTTAAGACGGACTTTCTTTTTGTTTTGTTGCCTCCCAGCTGACGATGTGTTTACACATCACTGCTCACACACATAATGACCACCATCACATGCAGGAGAGGCCTTTTGTATTAAAGCGTCCACTCGTCTCTCCTCCACACATTAACTAACACAAATGAGGTGAGTTCACGTATAACAAACCCTGCAGACGCTGGTGCCATGCCGGAGCCTGGGATGAGCTGCGTCTGCATAAATCTGAAGGCACAGCTCGAGACGCAAACGACTGACGGACGCAGGGGGGAGAAAATCTCACCTCCCCACATGTGATCACGCACACGGAGCGGCCGCTCGCCGCAGCCCGGCGGTTCACGGTTCACGGCTGTGATTAGGAAAGTGAATCTATCGCTTTCATGCACYAGGCTCCTTCACTTTACCGTTTGCATCCAGCAGCGTTTGAAGTCGCAGGAATGCTTCGGCATCGTGCCGCCACYTTGTTTGGCTCTGATTAGATCGGAAAGCGGCTTCTTTGTGACTTATTAAAAAAAACTAAATAAACAGCAGCAAACAGGGAAAAATCAAATCTTGGCGGTTTGGGCTGAGGTGTGGGTCGACATTTCCACCTGCTTTCTCCCGAAGAAGCATCGCCTGCTCCTGCAGCTCCGTCCAGAGCTTCACAACATTCCAGATGACCTCGCTTCGTCGTAACCTCGTTAATATTTCTTCAAGTGCGCTCGCRGCAGCGCACATTAGCAGGGCGAGCGGTCGCCGCCGGACACCGCGAGGCCGAGGCAGCCGCGCACGCTGCTGTCAATTAGCTGCCTCTCTAATACAATTACAGCAAATTAAGTGTTTGTTTCTTGGTATTTAAATATCACCAAAGTTGCCTTTCATCTTTGCAGCCGTCTGTTTTGTGCATAATGTGGTTTGCGGCCCCAGTTGGAGAGTAATTGAGCGAATCATTTACCCGCCATACGAGGCTGGGAGGCTGGCTCATTCAGTTAGGGCTTTGTTATTGTGAAGGAACGGAAGAAGTTGGACTGAACATTGCCTCTCCTGATCCGATTAGTCCTCAAACAGACAGGCTACCTCACTGAATGAATAATATCACTGAGACATGTGTTATTTTGTGCGATTAGGTACGGTTTGCAGTCCAGCAGAGACCTCAGAAATACCCTAGTGTTTTGTGTCAAGTTGGGATTAAAGACAAAAAGTACAAAAAGTTGAAATAATATTTWAAAAAAAACATTTTCAATTGTATTATTTAAATAAACCTGTCACATTTTAAAAGTTGGTGCACAACCCCACCTTCAAAGCTTGGACGTAGTGAAAATTGTAAATGAAAACAGATTGCATCAACTCATAAAGCCATATTACTGGGCTTACTGCTTACTTTATTCACGATGCAATATAATAAATATATTAAGTGTTTAAACAAAATTAATGTGCTATTGTTACAAAAAATAAGGCAAAATTTGGATTTCGTGGCAGCAACACATCTATAAAAGTTGGAACTGAGGCAACAAAACACTGGAAAAATTAGGGATACAAATAAGAAACAGGTGGATATTTTCATATAATCTGGTTACACTGCAAAAAATGTCCATCTAACCAAGTCTTTAAATATTATATCCAACCAAATGGTGTTTTTCTTTTCAAGAAGTGCAATTGTCCTATTCTGTTGGCAGATTACTTCCGCTAATTTGAGCAATTTGAAAATATTCGGACTCAAATTAGGTGAAATAATAGGTCAATGGAATAAAACAATTGCTCTTTTTAAAATAAGGGAACATTTCCAGGCTAACAATATTAATAATCCAACACATTCTGCTCTCGCTGAGTATATTAGTCTTGAAACAAGATCCAAAATTCCTTTTGATTGGATAAAAGATTGAAAGACTTAGTTACACGGACAATTTTTGCAGTGTAGTTGGCCAGTAACAGGACTGGGTATAAAACAGGGATTTTGAGAGGCTGAATTTATCAGAAGTAAAGATGAGGTCACGAGTCTGTAAAAACTGTCAACGATTAATGGAACAGTTTTAAAATAGTGCGCCTTCAAATAAAATAAATAGAAAGGAATGAAGGTAATTTGTCATCAATAAATGGAAATCTGGATAATAAAGCAGAAAGCCAGTTGAATATCTTCAAAAAAATAACATTAGCAAACAGTCAGCAGGCCTCAGAGGAAAATGACCTTCATCCTCTGAACTGTCCCAGGCTGCTCTGAGACAGAGACTCATGATGATTCAACCTTTTAAACATATGTCTCTTCCTGGTTCCACCCCTGAAGGTGGTAACTTTTACATCAGGCGTTAACATAACCAACTTTTGTTCATGCAGAGAGAGATGACAACACCCAGCAGCTCTCTTTCTCTTTTTTAAACCTTCTGGTTGCAATGAGCAGAAAGTATGAAARACAAAACTGGAGGAATATCCCATCGTTTACAGCTCATAATATCATCAAGAGGTTTAAGGATTTAGATAAATCTCTGTGCACGAAGAACACAGCTGAAAGGCTGTGCTGCATTAAAGAAAAGTGAATTTTTTTTTCTTTTGATTTGATTCATCAAAAGAAGAAAAAAAAGTGAAATATTTGCATCGACGTGAACGCTCTCTGTGTTTGTTGCAGGTTGAGCTTCTTCAGAGAAGTTCCTGATTTCAGAGTGTTGACCTGTGGAGGGGACGGCACTGTGGGCTGGATCCTGGACTTCATTGGTACCATTAATACATTTTTGTGTTGTTGCCTTAGAGTCAGATGTTAAGCAGAAAATCACAAATCTGGAGCTCTACACTAGACCCACTGTTCTCTATTAAAGTTCTGCACAAATACAGGAAATGCAGCTCTTTTTTGTTTGTTTTAGGCAAAAACAGATGTTTTTTATTAGTTTTCAAAGCTTCTGTGACTCTTGTTGTTGATGTGTATGAAGACTTGTTTCAAGCCCAGGTTGTTGCAATCAGGGCTGGTCAAATAGGATGATTACGTGAGTTGGAAAATAACATATTAGTAATCATTTAGAAAAAAACAAAAATCACCTGGCCTCCACAGTTTGGCCTCCAAGATGTTACCTGTTTGGGCTTCAAAAATTGCTTCAATTTTTTTACCAATCAAAACAAAGACAGGTAATAACCGTCAGGAAAAATGTCTTTTTTCTTCTTTTTTTACAGCTGAAATTTTATATATTGCTGTTTTACAAACAAGGCTGCAAAAATGGATTTGATGCATTGTTTACAAGTTTTCCTTTTTTGGTTTGGCTTAGTTTCCAGTCTTGTTGTGATGTTTTTCAGATAAAGCCAACCTGGACAGGAACCCCCCTGTGTGTATACTTCCTCTTGGGACGGGCAATGATTTGGCTCGATGTCTTCGATGGGGAGGAGGTAAAAAGCAGAAACGTGGAACAACTTGGCCACACCTGTTACATGTCTGTGTAAAAGAGAATAAAGTGCGAGCTTAACATCTAAAAGTTGTTCAGACACTAAAGAATCTTAAAACTGCTACAGAGTGTTTCATCTTTGTGTTTTTTGTTTATTTGCTTTAATAAATCACTTCAGGATTGCTTGTTGTGTTTGGTACAAGTGTTGGAAACAGATTTTAAAATGTCACTTRTCTCATGTTGCTCTGAGGCTACGAGGGCGAAAGTCTTCTTAAAATCCTGCGGGACGTGGAGAACAGCACAGAGGTGATGTTGGATCGCTGGAAGATTGATGTCACGCCGACCGACAAGGAGGAGCGAGGGGACCCGGTGCCTTATAGCATCGTGAACAACTACTTCTCCATCGGAGTGGTGAGTCAAAGTACACACAGTACACACTGTACATGCACATGCAGTTTATACGCCCTTATAACCCTTTTGTCATTTGTGTGACTGCTGAGTCAGCATTAAGTCAGATGTCATGTTAAACATTCAGTTGTTATAC